CTTTCTTAAGATGCTGCTCTGTATAAGGTGATCCCTTTCTCAAAAATTTACTGTCTGTCCCAATAGGCCCAATGTAGGAAGCAGCAATGAGTCAAATCAAAGAGCTAGGACGTGCTGATAGAAGTCATGAGTTTAAATCCTGGCCTTGACACTAATTGCTACGTGGCCTTAGCTAAGAAACTTATATTTTCAGTCTCAGATTACTTATCCCCCAAACTGGGGTAATGTTGCCTACTCCATAAAACTTTTATGAAGAATAAACAAGATAGTATATATAACATTCCTGACTCAGTGTCTGTTGAATCTGAATAAAGGATGCACCTAAAATTCCTGGATATATCACAACCAAGGCTTCATATTATTTGACCCCAATCTCCTTGTCTACCCTAACATTTCAGTACCCCTCAATAAGAATTTCCTATTCATCATACAATGACTAAGGCGGTTCCTGCTTTCTAGGCTACCTTCTCCCCAACTCGATCTATGGTAATCCTACCCATCTTTCAAGACTAAATTTAAAGCCCACTTCCTCCATTGTGGTATATCTGGTGCACTGTCTAAGGCATTTTACTGCTAACCAGAAGCCTGGTGGTTCACACTGACCAGCCACTCCTTGGAAGGAAGATTGGGCAATCTACTTCTGTAGAGATACCACCTTGGAAACCCAAGGAGGGAATCCTCCATGGTATTTTTTCTGTTCACTAACTTTTTAAACATTTCATAGCATCTTTAATTATATACTTTATTATTATAGCCATTTGGACATGTCCTATTTCCTTTGGTAAGAATACATTTCTGGAAGTCCACAAAGACTTGTGCTAACTATTTATATATACCCACAGTGCCTCTCACAGGGTCTGAAGTAGGACAAGGTATCAGGTTTTTTTTCCCCCTAATTAAGGAATTCCTCTAATAATAATTTCAAAATCTCTCCTTAAACCCACTTTGTCCACTTTATAGATGAAAGGTGAAATAGCTTTCAAGGTCATGCAAGTAGTTGGGTATTAGAGCTATAAGAGAATTCAGACTTCCTAGGGCAGAGATTCAATATTCATTCTCCTCTTCATCCATAGCTATAAAACTACCAATTTCTCACTGGAAACAGCCTCCCAGAATAGACTTCATTTTCCATGCTTCCTATAGTTAAGGGTAGACATGAATTCTAGTAAATGGGATACCAGTGGAAATGCCACATAACTGCTTCTTCTCCTTTATCTCCCACTTCCTTCATCCTGCTGCCTGGAACATGGACATGATGGTAGAAGTCCATATTGGATCATGAGATTCAGAGCCACAACTTAGAGATAACAGAGCAGAAAGCTGAAGAACTCTTTCAGGGTTTTGAAGAGGAGAGGCACAATACCATCAGTATTTTGCCTACTTCTAGATTTTTATCTTTCTATGCATCTCTGGGTGACATAAGTGCTTAAGTGTTTGACTTAACCCTATGGAGCAGTTTTATTCTACATACATAGGGTCGCCATGAGTTGGAATCAACTTTATAGTAACTACCAACAGCAACAGACTTGTACATTAGAGAGAAATAAGGTTCTATCTTGATTAAGTTACTGTTAGTTATTTTAGATATCTTTTTGGCAGCCTTACTTACCCTACTATATCTCTTATCAGCTTTCTGCTGCTCTCTGCTTTTCACACTGCCTCCAAATATACATCTTAATTAATTTCATCCATTCAATAATTCGCTAAATAAATATTCAATACAAACCAACATTCTGCTTGGCATAAATCTGGGAGGAGCCTTGGGTGGACACAAGAATTAAATACCCAGATCTTGCTCTTAAAAGTCACAAGTATTGAATGAACTGCTCATTCTTTTAAATCATATTACATCATATGTCTGGTAAATATCCATCTTAGAATTTCTCTGACATCTCAAATAATCTGTCCCCAGTAACATATTGTTGTTGATCAGAGCATGTGTTTGATATGTTCTATTTGCCTCTCTATATCCACTCTTCACCCTTCTCCCCTCTTTTCTTTGGTCTGGGCAGCTGATCACTATCAATTGTAGCCTTGTCCTGTGGCTTCCAGTTGGGTTGGTCAATAGGGGACTTAGCAGATCAGAAAGAAGCAAGAGAATAAAGTCTATGCATTTATTTTCTTCAGCTCCCTCTTTGAAGGGTCATCTCAGATTTTGTTCCTCAACTGAAGGTCATTCTTCCTTTCAAGGGGCTTACTACAAGACTCCTTTATACTGGGTTCTGGTAACCATTCTTACCCTTCATAACCTTTGAGCTGTTCCCAACCACAGGGAATTGCACTATACTTTGTGTCATATGTCACACACTGCCCACACCTTTTAAATAGCCCATTTATTAAACCTTCTTCAAATTATCCTAATTTGAGTCTGCCATCTGTTTCCTGCTAACATGCTGACTGATACACCATGTGTCCCAATTTTAAGTTCAAAATATATAGGTACCAGATACACATGAGACCTCATAGAAGCACTTTTGGGAAGAGGGTTAGAGCAGAAGGAATATTTTAACAAAATCTTAGAGCATAGAGAATCTCAGACTATAAGGATATCACAACCACTAGCTTTTGAGACCAAAAAGACATCTGAGCCATAGCCAGGACCTCTTTATTTTTCTTTGATTGTGTATTCCAGACTAGACTTGGTGACCTTTATATAGTTCAGCTATGAAAATTTTTATTAGAAGTGGGGCCCACTTCTAGGTTGAAACCACAGTCACTAGGCAGAGTCCACTTCTCCATCACCATATACCAGATCTCCAAGTATCCTACCTCCTGCCAATTCTCTCAGTATTCTCATTTGGGACCTTTAGAGACTACTCAATATGCCCACTTTAGAGGTACAATCCACACTTCTAAAAGAGTGATAACATGCCACACTTCTTATCATCTGCTTATTCTTTACTAGAAACCAAAGTATTGTTAAAGGCAAAGAGAAAAACTTACAGTATCCTGCATTCAGTATGAAGAACAATTTCACATTCCTGGTTTGGGTAGGAGAAGGACAGAGGAAAAGAGAGAAGGAAGGTGTAGTAGGCAGAATAATGCCCTCCTACCCCAAAGATGTCCATGTCCTGATTCCTGTAACCTGTGAATGAATTATCTTACATGACAGAGGGAACATTTTGGATTTGATTAAGTTAAAGATCTTGTGAGAAGGGAGATTATCCTGGATTATCTGGGTGAGTTCCACATAATCATAAGGGTACTTTAAATTAAAAAGGTAGTCAGCAGCAGGGCTGCATGAAAAAGACCAGCCTAGCCATTATGGGCTTTGAAGATGGAAGAGTACCAGGAGACACAGAATGCAGACAGCCTCAAGAAGCTGCGAAGATCAAGGAAATGGATTGTTCCCTAGAGCCTTCAGAGTGAATACAGCCATGTGACGTGTTGATTTTAGCCCAGTGAGACTGATTTCAATCTTCTGACCTCCAGAACTGTAGATAATAAATGTGTGTTGTTTTAAGCCACCTACTCTGTGGTAATTTTTTATGTCAGCAACAGTAAACTAATACATAATGGAAGACTGGATTCTTCATACCCCAGAGCATGGAACTGAGACAGGGAAAAGGGATCAGGAACTTATAGATGACACAGAGACAGACCACACTGAAGTCATAACAAACAGACTATATACTGCTGGTTTAAGATCAGGAAACGTGTGCATCAGTGTTGTACCTTTTCATCATACTTCTCCAATCTGTATGTTGAGCAAATAATCTGAGAAATGGACTATGTGAAGAAATACACAGAATATCAGGATTAGAGAAAGATTCATGAACAACCTGAGATATGCAAATGACACAACCTTGCTTGTTGAAACTGAAGACTTGAAGCACTTACTGATGAAGATTAAAGACTACAGCCTTCAGTATGGATTACACCTTAAAGAAAACAGAAATCCTCACAACTGGACCAACAAGAATGATAAATGCAGAAAAGATTGACATTGTCAATGATTTAATTTTACTTGGATCCAGAATCAACACCCATGGAAGCAGCAGTCAAGAAATCAGATGTCGTATAGCGCTGGGCAAATTTGCTTGCAATAGATCTCTTTAAAGTATGAAGAAGTAAACATGTCACTCTGAAGACTTAGGTGCATCTAACCTAAGCCACAGTATTTTCAATAGCCTCATATGCATGTGAAAGTTAAACAATGAACAAGGAAGACAAGAAAAATTGATACATTTGAATTATGGTGTTGGTGAAGAATGTTGAATAAACCATGGACTGCCAGAAAAAAGGAACAAATCTGTCTTGGAAGTACAGCCCAGAATGTTCCTTGAAAGAGAGGATAGAGAGACTTCATCTCATGTACTTTGGACATGTTATCAGGAGGAACCAGTCCCTGGAGAATGACATCATGCTTGGTGAAGTAGAGGGTTAACAAAAAAAGAGGAAAACTCTCAGTGAGATGGACTGACACAGTGGCTGCAACAATGAGCTCAAACATAGCAATGATTGTGAAGATGGCGCAAGACTGGGCAGTGTTTCTTCCTGTTATACAAAGAGTTACTATGATTTGGAACCAACACAATGGCACCTAAGGACAACAACAACATACACCATTTGCTAACCTTTACTGCATGCATGCAAGCTGGATTCACTGAGAAACAAATTTATTCTTCATCTCAGAAGCTCACACTCATAAAATGCTTTCATGCCTTTGGTAACACCCGGTAGAAGCATTCTTCTTTTCTTTCAAATGTTTTGTGATTCACCAGAACTTTTGTATTATATTAGAGTTTTATAAGCTACAATCAGAGGAAGGGCAAGCATCTGTCTTATATCTTATCCAGTTACTTCCTGGTGCCCTTGGAACAATGAATTACACAATAAAAATAGTAATTTGTAAAAGTCCAAGAGCATATAGTCTACTAAGCACTAACGTTCATTATTTGCACTCTACAGAAAACAAAACAAAACAAAATCCCATTGCTAAGACCCTACCCCAAGGCTGCCTAATTCTGAATGGCATCCCCATTCAGCACAGGGCTTACCACGCTCTGGCCCAGCTGCTCACGAAAGAAGTAATCCATGTTTCTCTTCTGCAGGCTGTCAAGGTAATGCTGGAAGCGAGTGTATGTGTATGGGTAGCAGTAAGCAAACTGATAAATGTCATCTTCTCGGTCAAAACAAAATGCAAAGGACATCACATAATTCTTCCTATGGTCTGGGCAGCGGTAGTAGTAAACATTTTTAGGTGGCAGCCTTTGCCTGAAAGACACAAAGAAATTTGGACATATCAGGTAATTGTTTAAGCTTTAAAAGTAGTAAACAAAATAAAAGCCCAGGAGAAAAATTATAACAGTAAGAATCCTGGATGAGGACAAGAACGGATATATGCACACCCATGTTCAATGCAGCAAAAAGATGGAAACAACCTATGTGCCCATCAACAGAAGAATGGATAAGCAAACTATGGTACATACAAACAATGGAATACTATGCAACTGTAAAGAATAACGTAGAATCTGCAAAACAATGCATAATGTGGATGAACTTGGAGGACATTATGCTGAGTGAAATAAGTCAATCACAGAAGGACAAATATTGTGTTAGTCCATTACTGTAAGAAGTCAAGGAAAGGTTTATATATGGAAGGGATTTTTTTTTATGGTTACCAGGAGGGAAGGGGCAGGGAAGGAACACTGTTAGATAGGTAGAGACAAGTATTTATTTGGGTAAAGAGAAGGGCAATGTACCAAATGTGAGTGATTAACACAGTGGCACTGAGGAAGAGGAAGACATAGAGAGATGCATGGGAGGTACAGAGAACAAAGATGAAGCCTTTTGCACCTACAGTAGTGTATTGTCAGTGAAGGCAAACATTGATCTATGGGTGGATAGATGGGTGGACAGGCTGAACCATTAGGTATGTCTATGCAGGGGGGAGGAGCTCTGATGGCATCGTGCCTAAGGCACTTGACTGCTAACCAGAGGGCTGGCGGTTCAAACCCACCAGCCACTCCTTGGGAAGGAAGGTTGGGCAATCTACTTCCGTAGTGATAGCACCTTGGAAACCCAAGAAGGGGTCATTATGAGTTAGGTCCGACTCAATGGCACATAACAACAACAATGCAGGGGGGAGTGTGCCCAAGACCATGTAAAGGGTTGCCAGATAATGTTTCTACAGGTGTATTTGTATGTTCTGTAAGAATTCCCAGGTGTACAGTAGAGCTGACAAGGGACAAGGTTGTAGTCACTTCTTGGCCAGAGCCAGCTACCCAGAAGGAGACAGTACTTGGACCTGTGGGCTTGGGACCATAGTTGCAGGGGACATCAAGCCCAATTGGCATAGCATGCTACACAAAACATTGTTCCACATCCTACTTTGGTAAGTAGTGACTGGGATCTTAAAAGCTTGCAAGGGGCCATCTAGATGCAACGATGGGTCTCTCCTCATCCAGAGCAAAGAAAAATAAATAAAACCAAAAACACATGGAAACAATTAGTCCAAGTGACTGGTATACCATGTGATCCTCAGCCTATATGACTATGAGACCAGAAGAACTAGATGGTGCCCAGCTACCACTGTCAACCACTCAGAGGGGGATCTATGTAGGAGATCCTGGATAGAGTGGGAGAACAAGCACTAACATTATTTGCACTCTATAGAAAAAAAAAAAATTCCATTGCTAAGACAAAACTCAAAATCATTAAAAAAAAAAAAAAAAAGGACCAGGTTTGCTGGTCTGATAGAGCCTGATGGAACCACTGAGACTATGGCCCTAGCTGCCCTTCACCTTTGGAACTGAACCCACTCCTGTGGCTTCGAGCCAAACAAAAATAGGCATATGCACTGAATATTTACATTCAGCAGATACACTCCTTGGAGAGATCAATTGTGGGGGAACAGAAGGGCTGTGTATGCACAGGGAGACAGCTCAGGAGGCAGGAGTACATGGGAGGGAAGGACAGAGGGAAGAGGTAACTATGGGAAGGAAGTGGGAGTGGAGCTGTTGTGGGAAATTGCAGTCAATGTCATGAAACAAAGTGTATGTGAACTGCTGTATGGAAAAATGAATTTATTCTGTAAACTTTCACCCAAATCACACACACACACACACACACACACACAGAATCCTGGATGGTTGTAAGGGAGAAGGAGGGCAGCACATATGGTTAAAAAACACTTATGGTTAAAAACATAGATTAGAATCTGATAGCACTTTGTCCAATTTCCAGCCCTATCCTTTAGCAACTGCTTGGAAAATGCAAGGTTAAACAAAGATGTACACATTTTCTTCACTCTTTCAAGAACTTTTCATGAGCACCTATTATGGGTCTAGGCTTCAACCTAGAGTCTTCACATAAAATGGTAAATAAGATAGCTGATGTCTCTATTCTATATTCTATTGGGGAAGTAGTCAATACAAAATACAAAATAAGTAGACATGACAGTTATGGAATCTAAAAAAACTGCCTTGAGGGAAATAAAGAATGTGTTATTTCAGAGACACATATGGGGTGTTTACTTTTTCTGGAAAAGTCAGGTTTCTTTATTACAAAACTAATTCAGAGCTTTTAACAACCTAATGGGCATTATGAATATTCAAGATGAGACAAGAATATTTGATATTTGGCCAAATTATTATTTTTCTATAAAGAATCCCATCAGACTAATTTTCCACAGAATAACTTTGGGAAATATTCCTTTAAAATATTCTGTATGAGCAATTTTGCTAAATCATCATGCTCATTGCCCAGAAAGGAACACTGAGACACATACAGGAAGAGGAAAAACACTCCCATTACTTCTTTACACTAAACCACTCCACAGGCGCATTTCCCCCTGATATACTTTATGATATCCAAAGTCTTCACGATGTTTGCCTGCATGGGATGCCTCTCATTTCTGTCTTTTCAAATCCCACTAATCCTACAAAGCCCATTTCAATCTCTGCTTTCTTTATGATCCTCCATTTACAATTCCAAGCCAGTTCAGCTCAGACATTTTTTACTAATTCTTGGTTTAAATCAACTACTTTGTAAGTCTTACCTACTAGGCTCAATTTGGAAGTTCCTTAAAGACAATGTGTTTCTAAGAGGGGAGGCATTGGCACAGTGAGTGTACAATGAAAGGCTCACCTGTAGCAGCTCAACATTCTGAGAAGCCAAGGTGCACAGCAGCATATGGGGGAAGGTGTAAGATGAGGGTATAAGAAATAAGGCCTAAGATAACAAAATGGTACTGGCTCTAGGTATACCAACCTAGAGAAAACTATTAAGAGATCAAAGAACCTTATAACATGACAAGATTTGTTGCAAAATTTTATTCTATCGCAGTATCTTTCTGAGGCCAAATGAGAAAGACCAGGGTGCCTCAGTGGCCAGGATAGGAGATAAGGCTGTGGGCTTCTACTGGAAGAGCAGTGGTTACATGGTACTGGTGCTTTACTTGTACAAAGCAAAGATATAGATACCAAACATTCAGTACAACATGGCTCCTGTGATGTCAAATCACAGTGGCTTTTATTATATGCTGTAACACTGGATGTTATAAATCCCATCTAAATATTAACTGGAATGCAAAGAGGAAAAGAGGATTATAAGAAGGAAAGAAAGAAAAGTAGGATGGAGATTGAGGGAGAAATGAGGGAAAAGAAGAAGGAAAATGAGTGGTGAGTACCTGGTATAGAGTTCATTTAGTATCTGATTTAATCATCACACATCATAATAATTCTGTCAAGTGAGTATTGTTTATCCATAGGAGATGAGGTCATGGAGGTTTACAAAAGTTGAGACGCTTATACATGGTCCCAGGCTAGGTAATGGCAGAGCTGTGATTCAAATTTATTTATCTGATTCCAAGTCCAGTATCTATATTATTCTTCCATGGTTCCTTTAATTCCCAGATGTGAGAGTGTACAAAAGGCAATAGGCAACAGACAATGTAAAATGGTGGAATGATAAGGAATTCATCATGGCTGAAGTGTAAAAAGTGAGAAAGGGAGTGGTAAGAAATGTATCTAACAAGGAAAGCAGAAGTCAGGTTAGAAATAAACTATGTAAATGATGTTAACAAAATTAGACATTATTCTGAAGATTACAGAAAACCTCTGAAGGGTTTTAATAAGTTAATTACCATGACTGTGTCAATCTAAGAGATTGATAAGGATGTCAGGGCTTCACAAGTGTAGAGAGAGGACCGATTTGATTACATTAGCAGAAATAGTGGCTGAAGTAAGACTATGGGGTCTAACATAGGTCAGAACTTGAAAGTGTCAAGAAAGAGAACAGGATGATAGAGATATACAGCATAAGCCACAAAGGAACAAGTTTTTTTTTTTTTTTTAAATTATTGGTAGTATCAAGGGATGTTTGTACATGAACTTAGGTCTACCAATAGATTCTATTAGCCTCCTACTCCCAAAGAAGAAGCCCTGGTGTTGCAATGGTTAAAGTGCTTAGCCACTAACCAAAAGGTCAGTGGTTCAACCCCATCCAGAGACTCTGCAGGAGAAAAGACCTGATGATCTGCTCCCCCAATGATATAGCACCTAGGAAAGCTGTGGGGCAGTTTGATTCTGCCCTATAGAGTTGCTATGAGTTAGAACTGACTGGACAGCACACAACAGCAACTATTCCCAAAGCCACATAGAATAAACATATAAGTCACAACAGTCTTCTTGTAAAGAAAATATATCTTTAAACCAAACCCCCTAGGCACACCTTCCAACCAGACTGCCACCCTAAACCTTCTTATATTGAAATTTCGGAGCTACCAGTGATAAAGTAGAAAAATAACAACCTGGAAATGCCATGGGTAGTGTAGAGAAAATTTGGTCCCTCCTGATCTTCCTGTGCATAGGGTACAAGAGAATGAGCAGTTCCTCAGATGGCAATGGGAGAAAGAGTGTCCCTCAGGAGAGTCAGACTTAATTCATTGTTTTATTCAACAAAAGTATCACATACTAAGCATAGTTTGGTTAAGACAAGAGGTGAAGGAAGAGATGGGCTAAGAGATTAGGATCCAAGTGAGATTATCAACCATGGAGCTGAGTTTGAGAGGAAAAATGGAAAATAGACAGTTTTGGATAGAGAAGAGAACAATATATAGCCAAGTTTAGAGAGAAAATAGAATAGTGCAGAGATGAGGATATATATAGAAAAGAGTTCTGTATTTGTGAAGTGATTGAAGATTTGGAGTTCTATATTTGTGAAGTGATTGAAGATGCAGGAATGTGAGCCTGGTAGTTAAATAATACCAGTTA